ATCTGAAACTAGACATTAAAACGAATTTTGTCTTCATTATCTGAGAAATAAAGACGTAAAATCGAATGGCATAAACCAATACTTTTGGTAAATAGTACCGTTGACATTCTGCCTTATAGCGTTTCAATCGGAGCCAACTCACTCAAGATTGCATATAAAATTATAGAAAGAAAAAGACAGTGAGTAGAAATTATGATATGAACAGAAATTGAGACATTTACTGTATTTGATAATTAGAGAACGGGTTTTATTCATTTATAAGGAAACGGGAGGTGCTAAAATTATAAATGGCGCGCATAATGTGCAACCGCAATGAAGAGTATTAAAAAGTGAATGTACATTTCAATGTTTCAATAATAAAATAATTGCTTACCTGAAACACGTCTTTTGAATTGATAGCATAAATGTTTTGCATTACATAAACATCGGTAGTCTATTAATAATGATCGCCACTCATGGGATTTATTTGGTTCAGTTATTATTATTATATTTTTCTTAATGTCATACAAATTGTACATGATTTTCAATCTGCTATGCACGAGTCGCTACAATAATTGTACGACGTGATTTAATTACACAGTTTCGTAACAAACTTGAAAGGGTAGACGGCGTTTCCCTCCAAGTTCATCCGTCGTCGTTGAGAAAACGAATATAAAGTGGTACGAAGTTTAAAACTAGGCTTATGCCGGGATACTTCCACTTTCTGTTCGGCATAAATTCGTTCAGTCGGACAATGAAGTTGCGAACTTGCTGCTACTCGCATCACACGAATGGATAGTCGAGATGAACGAAACCTTTAAGTAGACATGGTCAGTGAACTGCGGACTTTTGTATGAAATAAAACTTGTAGGGTATCAGTTTAATAAATGATATACAGTCGAACTTCGATATACGACGAATCCATTCTTTCGATTTTTCGATATTTTGACAAAAAAAAATTTTTTATTTTTCCGAGCTTTTTCCAAGGGGTACCCCTTCAATTTGTTCCAAATTTTCGTTTTTTGCCAATAACTTCGAAACCGTTGGAGATACGGGAAAATTGCATCAGATCTTTCTTGTAGAGGGCGACGAGATCTACAATTTCTGTATAAAAGTTTCTTGCTAGCGTCAATAGTTAACGAGTAATTTGCAAAAAACTGGTTTTTCGTTTTTCGTCAATAACTCGTTAAATANCTGTATAGACAATACATTCTTAAACCTCATGCTATGTATTTCGCTGTTTGTATTTTATGCACTTTTGTCCACTATATATATTTCTCACATCTTCTATATACCCAATTTTGCTGTAAATGCATGAAACCCGCAATGTGTAATCGTCAATCGTCCGCGAAGCTTCGACCCTTTGCAACTAAATAATTTAATTCGTTCAGTAATGATTTAAATAGTTGCTAACCATTACAAGTGTTGAACGTAACGATTAGCCGAAGTAACTTATTAATTCAACCTACATTTTATACGTTTCGCAAACCGCGAATATCGCGGATTACGTAAGCGGTGGTCTATACATAACTAAACCGAATTGGAGCGAAGCCGTCCGGCACTCGCAATCAAATAAAACCATCACGCGTATTTTCTATTTATCATCTATCGATCTACCGATAACTAGCGTATTAGGGTGGGTCTATTAAAATTCTGAAGTCAAATGACTGTGCATACTAAGAATTTCATATACATAAAAGTGTATAGATATAAATTATGATTTTTTAAGCAAATTAAAGCACTTCTATTATGCGTATAAGAAATAAAATATTTTACATTATATGTATATAAATAAAATAAAATCTTATTTGAAATCAGGCAACAACCTTTGCACTGATCCAATATTTCATGTCTCAATCTTCAGGGTCGTGGGATAAGAAATGCAATGCATCACGAATCCGCGAGTATCGTTTCATAGTTTCCCAAATCATCGAGTATTACACGGCGAGGTATCGCGCCCGAGTTCGGCACGGTTTCCAGAGCATGTAAACCCGCGTAGGTGTAAACCCATGATGTGTGTGTGTATGCACGTGTACGTGTGTTCGCGTAGGGCTCTCCGGCTGGTCGCGTAGCATAGGGCGGGTCGGTGGAACATCTAGCCAAGGTATATATAGGCAGGTAGGGAGTAGGTACTATCTAGTATCTAGTAATACCGGGTACTAGGTACGTACGCGCCGCGGACGCCAAATAGTGGTTCGCATATTCAGAGAGATAGCGACGTCGCTCGGTGCGATCGCCTCTGATTTAGGCCTCTCTCCTTCTCTCTCCGTTGCTCGCCGTTGCTCCTCGTCGGATCTCTCGATCCCCCTCGATCCTACCGTCGCTCTTTATCCCTCCTTTCGTTCGCCCTCGGTCGTTCTATCTTCCAACGCGCGCCCAACACACCCGCGATTCGGTGTACCGACCGCGTGTGTCGACCCGTGCACGTATACGAATTACACATAGCACTCTGCTCGCGTCCACGGATAACGTCCTCGATACGGCGCGGCGGCCAGCAGCAGCATCGAGCACGACATCGGGCCGTCCCGAAAAGCACTATCTCGCGGCACCCCGCTCGAAGCCGACCAATCAGTGGTTCGATCCACGCTTTCGACCGCGTCGCGCTTTGATCATGCACCCTGCGACTGATACCCACCACGACCATCGTCTCGACGTAAATCACGTCTTTTCTCTTTCCCGCTCGTGCTCTATTCCGCGGGCGTGGATCGCCAGGGGGATTATCGATAGCGCGCGCGCCGTCGCGGAATTAAAGGATTTTTCTACTTTTAAATTCTAGATCGTCGCGATCGCTCAGCTGTAAGTCGCTGGCTTGCCCATCGCTCGATATTTTTTATGTATTCACTGGCATCCCCCGTCGTGGCCTTGCCCACGCTAATTATAGAACGCGAAATGTGTAGAATAGGAATGTCGTGATAAAAACCAAGTAGCTAAAATGTTGGACTTCAAAGATATCGAATATTTTGTAAATGTACATTTTACATTTTCCGTAATAGGTTCTCGTTCACAAAGGTTACTCATACAAATAACTAAAAATCAATTTCAGCATTTTTCGTCGATCATCCACTAACAGGGTGAAAAGATGAAAAATATGTATTTAGAAAAGTCTTAGTAGTCTAATAAAACCTTTAAAGTTGCATGACTTAACGTCTTGGTTACTGTTCATTAAATATTTTAATCCAATACATTTTTAATTCTGTGTACGATAATTAATACGGACGAAACCAGGTCGACGGATGTTACTATCTATACCTAATTGCGATTATCGCGTCGTGAATTTCAATCGTTGGTCGATACTACCTGAAGGAACTACGATAAAACCAGAGAAAAAGTTTTCGACGCTTATAATTTCTCATATTTTAAATCTGTCAAGCGTGAGAATGTATTGCACGCAGTGTTCCAATGATATTTAAGCCGTTCGTTCTGGTTGTAAATAATCGGTCGCGACGTAAGTTGATGGTTGAGAAACACTGAGCGCAGCTGCCGCGGCGCGGCGGCGGTATCTCCGCGTTGTCTGCCACCTCACACCCTCGTCTTGCGTCCCACGTGGGTGCCGGTCGAAGGGGTCGCGCGGAACGACGGTGACGCGCGGGGGCTAGCGAGGAACAGCGGGGTGGGTAACGGCAATGGGCGAGGAAGCGGGATCGAGGGATGGCGACCGACCGACCGGGCGAGGCGGGCAAGGAGGGCGGCTCGAGGTGGATAGGGTGAGGCTGGCTTGGGTGGACAAAGGGGGCCGAAGTGGGTGAAGGGATCGAGGGATAGCCACCCACTGACCATCTCTCCCCTACCCTGGCCCGGACCGTGTTCTCGCAAAAAAGACCGTCTTTCCTGTAAGACGCGAGGCGAAAGGGCGAGGTACCCTTCCGACTTCGATTTTCGACCACCTTTGACCTTTCCTGAAAATTCGCTGAAAATCGTTGAACGAGCATCGCGAGCAACGTCTTCGGCGCTCTTTTATTGCATCTGTGTTTCCCTGTTTCTGTGATCGCCGTTCCCTCTCGCCTCTCTTCGTATGATATACGGTAATTCCCGTAGTACGGCGCAGTAAATTGTACGCATAGATCATAATACAGTGACGTAGGTCAGGGACCGAGAATACGCACGAACTGCCACGTGCTCGGCGACCGTATTTCAATGTGTACTCTTCTCGCGTGGCCGATCAGCGGCTGCGTGCGAGATGCATTTACTCTTTAACATTGTTGTTATTGTTATTATTATGTGCCGTGAGACTAACGGTAAATCGAGTAGATTACGTAATCTATCAACGGTCGGCTGTGTAGACACCTTTAACGGGTCACGATCAACTTTTTCTGTTATTGACCGCGATGAGCAGCCCGCTGTATTATCTCGCAAACGGGAAAGTTGATTTAAAGCAACAAGTGTTCCCGCTTATTGAATTACAAATGTTCCTTCTTATATATATATATATATATATATATATATATNGAAATACACCTTTTATAGTCTTTACGGATCACAGAAGACCAGAACAAGTATAAATTTGTTTAAATTGGAAAACAATTTGTTTCTCGATCTTCTCCATTATAGAGCCCGAAGAAATTAATTTTAATTACTTCGATCATTCTCTGTTGCTCCTTTTCGGCACGAATCATTTTCTCCTCCAGTTTCTTCGTCTTCTCCTCTTCCAGTTCAGCTGCGAAATAACTTTTGTATTCCGTAGGAGGGTTCAGCTTATATTTCGTGATTTCATGATGAGTCGATGCCGGTCGCTCCGGCTTTTCCGGTTGCGGTAAGTAGGGGCACGTTCTTCTGGTCAAATCGCATAACGTTTGCTCTCTGGACGCATAGCCGCTGACTACGTACGCATTGTATCCCTGCGATAAGAGGAGGCTGACGAGAAAAGTTGCGCACTCGAAGCAATTTCCCTTTCGAAACTTTTGTACCCACGTCGGCGAACGCAGCTGTTTCGGCTGTAAACAGAAACAACGCCATGAATGGGGTATTATATATATATCTCTATATATATAATACCCCATTCATGGCGTTGTTTCTGTTTACAGCCGAAACAGCTGCGTTCGCCGACGTGGGTACAAAAGTTTCGAAAGGGAAATTGCTTCGAGTGCGCAACTTTTCTCGTCAGCCTCCTCTTATCGCAGGGATACAATGCGTACGTAGTCAGCGGCTATGCGTCCAGAGAGCAAACGTTATGCGATTTGACCAGAAGAACGTGCCCCTACTTACCGCAACCGGAAAAGCCGGAGCGACCGGCATCGACTCATCATGAAATCACGAAATATAAGCTGAACCCTCCTACGGAATACAAAAGTTATTTCGCAGCTGAACTGGAAGAGGAGAAGACGAAGAAACTGGAGGAGAAAATGATTCGTGCCGAAAAGGAGCAACAGAGAATGATCGAAGTAATTAAAATTAATTTCTTCGGGCTCTATAATGGAGAAGATCGAGAAACAAATTGTTTTCCAATTTAAACAAATTTATACTTGTTCTGGTCTTCTGTGATCCGTAAAGACTATAAAAGGTGTATTTCAAAAAGAAATAGTTCATTGGAAAATGAATAAAACAAACATAAATTTTATTAAATTGGAAAAGAATTTGTTCCTCACGCTTTCTTCATTTTTTTTTCGAAATTCATCCATCGGACAGAAAAAAGTAGTAGACCACGAAATGTTCGTCTTGTCTCTTAAAAGTATTTATTCATTATTTTAATATTTAAAGGTCACGCTTTTCCGTTGTCCGATTGAACTCAAATTTTGTACATATTATTCTTTTATTAATTAGGACAATTGACTCGCATCCCTGAGAAAAACCGCATTCGGATTTTAGGATTTGGAACAGCTACCCGTGGACAGCTATTGGGGATACAGGATACATGCTTGGGTAGCAATTTTACCGGAGTTAGAAGGGCTGAGGGACCAGGAGATAACTCGTCCACTTTTCATCGAATCCACTACCGGCGTATCTTACGATCCCAAGGACTACGACACGGCTCAGCTGTATCTGGGCGTGGAGAGTATATGGAACGATAAGAATTACTGGGTAAATATGCAGTCGTCCGCGAAATCGTGCGTAGACATAGCGTGGGATTTAACAAAAGTAGAACTATGGGAGCACTTGCTTCCCGGCGAACCGTGGACAATGCGCGGTGTAGCAGAGGAGATCGATGATGAGTCCGCCGTGCAACAAGAGAAACACTTGGACATGCCATACTCGTACGTAAACGAGATAAACATCAGCGAAGAAGGTGCGTTAGGAACTTTGGGGTCGTAAATCTTGAACGCGTCGATGCATCTCTTCATTTGGTTGCGTAGAATATAGGAAACGATATCCAAACGGTATGAAAATTATATTTTACAAGAAGACGAAAGTTGAATTGTACGCGCCGTATCTGCAAACGGACGGACTGATAGAAAAGATCACGGTCTACGACGACTACGATCACATAACTCCCACGGAAGTTTACGAATATTACGTGAACAGATCTGACCATCTCATGGAGACGCGGAAGAACAAGAACGATGGTTCGATTATAGATTATTACGGGAGAGGAAGACCGGACCAGTGCAAAGGTAGCTTCTTAGAATGATATCTCCCTTCGTTTTAACAGACGAAATTTAAGTTTATCGAGAATTAAATGCGCAGAGCACCGATATTTCGTCGGTGGTCCGAATCAAGTGGATAGCGAGCGGATCTTAGATTTTTATCACGTCGCTCGTTTCGACGGGCTATCGAGGCTCGAGTCGCACCCGACGTACTTGACCCAACAGTTCGTTGATCGTGACGACTTTCTGTATTACCGGTGAGCGATTATGCCAAATAATTCGAACATTAATTCTTACGACATTAAAACCAGAGTTTCGATTGCACCAGGCATGCGGAATTCTCGCAAAAGAGGGAAAGAAGCGCGCGGAGGGATGCTTCTCAACAGGATATTCATTATCGACACATTTCGGTAAGGCAGGCTTTATTCGGGACGCTTATCGTGGGAAGGTAATTTAAGGAATCATACTACCGAAAAATAGTTGACGCGGAATATTAGTGTTTCCACCGAAGAGAGATTACTAAAGTGTGTAAAAATTTAATATTTGCGATGGGAACAATTTTAGATTCCGATCGAGTAAATAAAGAGCAACTTCTTAAGATAAAAATTGGTATGAAATGCTAATGTATTTTTTGGTAATCGTTCCTTGTAGAAAATTATCGAGAAATTTGATAGGGACGAACGAATCGTACCGCGTAAGAATATTGCCATACGCGAGTTCGCTATAAGCGATAACGAAATACGTCTTACGTATCATTATCAACCGGGGCAATTCACGAGAGCTTCGCGGATGTACGTGAAACCTACATTAGCGGAGAGAGGTGAACGATTGACTCTCAATCCAGAGCTGGTGCAAGGATACAGCGTGAGACATTTTTCCTACCCGTCGTGGTACATCAAAAAGTATTCTAATTTTTATTTAAATTGTTTTGTCTCCAGCCATTAGACGAATCCTACAGGTCTTTAGACTTGTTGTACGAACTGGATGCGCAACTGAGGGAAGAAGATACGTCCATATCCCAAGTTCGAGCAGCGGAAAAGGAATTATACGCTTTTCTCGACGTAAGGGAAAAAGAGTATTTGCATCCACAATTATCGGTTTCAATATACGATACGTTGAGGGATCCGGAATCAGAAATGTTGGCGGTAAGTACATACAACAAAGAATACGCGATTAAAACCACGGATATCAGTGATTGATTTTGTGTACTTTGTATTAAATACAGAATGAATGGTCGCGGACGGAAAGCCAGATGGATACCACGGAGGATGTAGATTATTTGTTACCGTACTTGGCTCGTATAGGAAATCCATCGCAGTTATCGCGTGAAGACGCGCTCTGGATACGAAACGAGTGCCTAAACGATTACAAACACTCAGCTATACGCAGAGCGAATAAGATTTTACGGAAGTTCGAGGTACACTCTCAGGAATTGGCGAGGACACAAGCGTTATTAACACAGGTGAAGTAATTTGTTGTAAAATCCCGTTGTTTATTTGGATACAAAATACAATGTAGAAATGCCTTTTTACAGAGCGAAGATTTAACTCGCGAGGAAGAAGAACAGATATTAGAGAAAATGAACGAGATCAACTTTTACTTGCAAACTCTGGAAACCAGATTGAATCGGCACCGGGACATGGTTCCCGTGCGATACCAGATGTTGGTAGAGCACTTACACCGAAGTCCGCATCTCGCAATTCTTGCAAGTGATTCACAATAGGTAAACGAGCCCTTACTGAAAAGACCACGAACCCATCTGCCCGATACACCGTCCTGAAATCATTTCAATCGATAAAGGTAACGAACTGTTTACAATCGTTTATGGAGCACTCACCTTCGTCGTCGAAGGTAGCCAATGTAAATTTACTGAGTTTATTAGTAAAGCTCCCAGTGTTCGCACCTATCGTGTGATCCGTTAAACGATCGGCGTTCGCGACGTCGCCGTCAGCCCCGTGACGGCGGTGCTCTTCGGCGAAACCGGAAATCAACGTGTCCATCATTATTGCCTAACGAGCAATCGCATCAATTTTAATACCGTCAACTCGTTAAGTTTCTATCCGTAATGCGCGAATCGTACTTGTCTCGAGAATACTTGTAGAATTTTATAAACTCGTGCTCCGTTCTCGCGTACAGGGAACTGTAGGAATAAACACGGCAGACAGTCTGGATTAGCTTCGTCCGAAGGTTTCGCCATTTCCCAGCACAACTCCGGATACCTTAGACCCAACAATAAACTCTGTAGAAAAATTATGTTTAACTTCTTATTTGGACGATAACTAATTCATCGCGAGCCACTTAATCACTTACGCATTGACCGTCGTCCACGATGTACACACCCGACGAATTGATGGCTATCAGCACTTGCATATCGCGATTCGTGATCCAAGTCGCGAGTCCTCTCACTGGACGCTCGATCTGTCCCTGAAAGAACGCCGCCCCATAGCAAGGCAGACTCCAGCAAAACTCCAAATACTTCCTGATAAGCTTCCTCGAGTTCGTGTTAGTTCCGGTGTGACTCGGTATCCTTTTGTACTGCTCGAGAAGGCGAGCCTCCGGTGCTCCCTTTCCTCCCACTAATCCTAATCCAACACCCAGGCCTAATAGCAAGCTGGGTGAATTGTAATGATGAGGCAGGAATCGGCCTCGGTGCCGCCTGAAAAATGCTAACGTATGAGTTTGCGGATTGTACGGGCCGAGCTCAATACGGGCTTGCAAAGCACCCAGGCTCGCATATCTCGCCTGACCCTCGCATGGATACCGTCCTGAAATTTATATCTTCTATTACGACCAACTATCCTTCAAAATTCATTCAAATCCGTTACCTTGCAGCACATTGTTTCTTGCTTCTGCATACAACAGTTCCAGTACTTTAACTTCCTTTATTTGCTCCTCGTCCGAGCGGGAAAGGAATACGTTTCTCCTAAGACAAAGCAAGGGCTCCTCGTCCGATTCTTCCCTCTGGGAACTGTACTTCTTTATCAAACGATTCCATTTCGCGGCCAATTCTAATGGCTTGTGATTCGGACGTAATTGAACTTCCAGTCTGGATGAGCAAAGCCATAAAGCGAACACCGTTTGTCCGGTGAACAGTGAAGTTCTTGTTAATCCCAGTTCACCCTCCGACTGCATCATTGCCAGAATTTGATGTGCAGTGAAATTTTGTTCAATATCCATTGTTAAAAAGATTCCAGTCATCAGGTACACGGCTATCCTTACGGTAGATCTCCCAACGTTCAAATATTGCGATTGATTCACTATCATTGCTAAACAGATGAAAAGTTCAGGCGAAATTAAATCCGCGATAAAAAGATTTTTAATGTATTCTTAGAGTTCTCTTACAAGACGATGCATGTCCGTCAGTTTTATAATCATTTTGGTAACGGCGAACCGGTTGTCCCCTTCGAATAGCACAGTCCTCTTGCGTTTCCATCGCTTTTAACTTTTAATTCATCACTCGAAGCGTAAATTGTTACTCGTGTTTCTCATTTTTACCCTCCACACGTAAATACAGATATCACCCTCATGTCATTACCCCCAAGGAAATCAGCAAACGAATCGACGGATGGAAGTATGAATTGAATAGATTTTTAAATAAAAATTAATGAATAGTGAAACGAAATCAGTTTTCTTGCAAAACAGACGAGAAACGACAAAATACCAATTAATTGTTGCAAGGTACTAAACCAAAATACTGCTCTGCTGCCATCTGAGCCAAAGAAGTTATTGATTAATTCTCCCTCTTGGGGATGACATATTTTAAATTTTTTTACTACTAAGGGATGGTAAAGAAATAAATGGCAACGTTCTTTTACGTGTTTATTTCATATTGAAACCTTGATTATCTATTGGTACAAAGTAAGTTAATTTTTAACATTTGATCTATTTAAGTGGGAGAAAACAATTGATCTTTTCATTGATAAAATACAATGAATATTTTGAGTTCTAAAGTGAAACAATACAGTGATTGACTCGAAACAAATGCTTCATAAATATTCTTTCAGAATATTAATAAAAATAGATTTCTTATATTAGCTAATTGTCGAATAGAGCTTTGAATAAAATTATATCAAATCAGCTACGTTCATGGGCATCTCGTCGATCTGCGTCGAATAATATTGTTCGATGTCTCGGAGGATCCTTATATCGTCAGTCTTTACGAAGTTGATAGAAACACCTTTCCTACCGAAACGTCCTGACCGTCCTATTCTGTGAATATACAGTTCACGATTGTTGGGCAGATCGTAGTTGATCACAAGAGACACCTGCTGCACGTCGATTCCTCTTGCCCATACATCGGTCGTAATTAAAACTCGACTGAAAATATATTTATTGATATAAAATCTACTTAGACTTATAATTAATTAATAATAGCGGCGTTAATTGTACTATACCTCTGTCCTAGTCGGAATTCTTTCATTATGTTGTCTCTTTCTTTCTGGGGCATGTCGCCGTGCATGGAGCAGACGGTGAAGTTAGCTTCCCTCATTTTCTCAGTCAACCAATCGACCTTACGTTTAGTATTGCAGAAAATTACTGCTTGCGTTATAGTTAAAGTGTCATACAAATCGCAGAGCGTGTCGAACTTCCACTCTTCCCTCTCAACGGCCACGAAGAATTGTTTTATTCCTTCTAACGTTAACTCATCGCTGTAAACAATGATCAGTTAGAGACGCAAGTTAACTAACCTTAAATCTAAGAAGAAACAAACTTACCGTTTTACGAGAATGCGAATGGGGTCCGTCATGAATTTACTGGTCATCTCAAGAATTTCATGTGGCAATGTCGCAGATACCAGCACTACTTGAGTTGCTGGTGGCAAGTACCTATATACATCGTAAATCTGTTCTTTGAAACCTTTGTTCAACATCTCATCTGACTCGTCGAGGACTAACATTTTGATAGCTCTCGTTCTAAGAACTCTTCTCTTTATCATGTCTAAAAATAATCACACAATTACTGATCTAGCTGAAATCTATCAATGACAGTTCCCTATTTATAATAATTATTAATGTAATAATTACCAAATACTCTGCCAGGCGTGCCCGATACGACGTGCTGTCCATAATCCAGTTTCCTGATATCTTCTCCAAGATTGGTACCTCCGATACAAGAGTGGCACTGAACGTTCATGAAATCTCCCAATGCCAGAATAACTTTTTGTATTTGCGCTGCCAACTCTCTTGTGGGCGACAAAACTAACACTTGCGTTTCTCTAATTTGCGTGTCCAAAGACTGCAATATCGCAATCGAGAAGGTTGCAGTTTTGCCAGTACCAGATTGAGCTTGTGCAATCACATCCCGCCCTTTCATTATCGGTTTGATCGAACGCTGTTGAATCGCTGATGGTTTCTCAAAACCTACGGCAGAATTAGTAGCGTTATGATATGAATAAACGCCATATCCGTTCGATTTATAAACAAGAAATGATACAAGCACAGTTGCATTACATGAAACAGTGCAACGAAAGTAAAGTATTACCATAAGCATAAATCCCACGCAGCAGCTCGTCCCTGAGGCCCATATTATCGAAGGTTGGGATAACTTCGACATCCTCACTAGTTTCGAATTCAACATTTGATAAATCTTCTGTTTGAGCAACACGACGCGACTTTACTTCCGCCATTTTCATCAAAACACGCGACTTGTTCTCTTATTTAGTCACTAGCACACTAGGACGTCACCACCTATAACCAGTATGATAAATTCAATTTGGGATTGCTCGTGGCGCCATCTAGCGTTCACGGCTGCGAAACCGCTCTTCTCTCTGGTGCAGCAATATTGGAGCCAAGCACTTTCGCTTTTGACATCAATTTCGTTTTTCGTGAATAACTCCCGAACGGATGGACGTAGGGGGGCGTATTTAGGCTCATTTTGTAGGGGACGACGAGATCTACAATTCCTGTGCAAAAAGAATTCGCTAGTGTCAATGGTTAGCGAGTTATAGACGAAAAACGAAAAACAGTTTTTTGCAAATTACTCGTGAACTGCTGATGCTAGCGAGAAACTTTTACATAGAGATTGCAGATCTCGTCGTGCTCTATAAAGTCGTCCTATATACGTCCCCCTAAGTCCATGCGTTTGGAAGTTATTGGCAAAAAACAGAAAAACAGTTTTTTGCAAATAACTCGTTAACTATTGGCACTAGCGAATTCTTTTTGCAGAGAAATTGTAGATCTCGTCGTCCCCTACAAAATGAGCGTACATACGTC